CAGTTCCCTCAGTCTCGCCTCATACGGCATCCCCTGCAAACCGGCCACCAACCTTGTGGCCCTGCGCTGCACTGACTCCAACCTGGCTGTATCCTTCCTGTAATGAGGGGCCCAGAACTGAGCACAATACTCCAGTTGCGGGTGCACCAGAGTTGTATAGAGTGGCAGTAAGCCACGCTTCCGGCTATGCAACCCAGGGTGGCGTTCGCCCGGAAAGGTCAAGCTGAGTGGGCAGAACCTGCAGTCCAGTTTAGCCAATTTATGGACACGCGTTTAGAATGAGGGCAAATTCGTGGCAGGCTGGTCTGGCCACGTGCCTGCAGCTAAGCGGAGGCAGTAGCTCGGGGGACTGGTGCCAAACCAGCAGGCGGGGATGCTCGCCCTCCTGCCCGTGCCCCTCGGTGGGCTTCCTGGAGGTCTTTGGCCAGCTGGAAAGAGAGCCCGGCACACTTCGCTCGGATCCAGCCACAGAGACGGGGAAGCTCCCCCAGGGAGAGTCCCCCGCCCCTCCTTTCCCTTGCCTGCCCTCGAGAAGGAAGGACTCCTCTCGAATGGGAGGCCGGCATCTCCGAGAATTGGGCAGACCGTCTCCCCCGATTCTCCTGCCCCCGACGCCTGGGTGAGACGGAGCTTTGCTCCGACCCAGGAAGGCCCTTCCTGGGTTTTCGCAGACGAGGCTGCTCTGCGATGCCTCGGTGCCAGAGGACGACAGGCCAGGGACCTATTTTCCAGGCTCCCTCCTGCTTCGGCGGAGAGAGCCGGCCAGCACACCCGGCGCTGCAGGCCTCCACGCGGGCATCGCGAAGTAGCTGGGTGACACAGGCGGGAGCGCCAGAGAAGGACGAAAACATGGCCTCTGCCCCTCACCTGTTGGAGAAGACCTTGCTGTAGTTGAACACCTGGATCTCCAGCATTTCGTGGACGTCGATGCTGCTTGCAATGGGCCACCGGAAGGTCTGTGGACAGAGATCCAGAGGAGAGGAGGGGTGAGCACAGCGGGTTCACGCATACGGGCACCGAGCCTTCCCCAGACACGCGCAGACACGTTTCTCGAATACGTTACGCTGCTCCACCTGGTCCTGGCGCCCCCCCCCCCCCCGCCCAGGTGCAGCACGGCCATCCCATTCCGGCGCTGTCATCCCGAGCCCACGGCAAGCTACACAACATTCCAGCACACGGTTTGTGGAGAAAAGCCCGAGCGCGGGTGGAGTCACAGGCCGCCCAGGGAAGCACCAGGCCCGGCCCTGCCCTGCCTCGGGGCCCTTCTCTCCCAGGAGAGCCCCCCATGCTAGATCTCTGCCACAGGAGATGCCACCACTCAAGGGGGGCCCTGAGGTTGCCCCCTCTTCTCAGGGAGCCCCTTCCCCAAATCCTTGCAAGTGGATGGAGCCTGGGTCTCCATAGTCAGTGGTGATAAGAAGTTGAAACTCTTTTGCCTGGGAATAGAAGCACAGCAAGCCAGAAGGGTCCTCCTGGGCCATCTAGTCTGACCCCTGGCTCCACCTGGCTCCACTCATGACATGCCCACCATGCGTACATCCAGCCTATCCTTGAACACCTGCACCGAGGGGGCCTCAACCACCTCCTGTGGAAGCCCATTCCACACCCTCGGGGTCCTGACTGTCAGGAAGTGCTTCCTGGCATCCAAATGGAACCTCGGTTCCCTGAGCTTTGCTCCTTTGGGGTGCGTCCCGCCTTCCTCTGCAGGGGAGAACAGGTCTCCACCCACCTCCGTGTGACACCCCTCACATACCTGCATGTCGCCAACAGATCCCCTCTGAGTCTCCTCTTCTCCAGGCTGAAGAGACCCAGTTCCCTCAGTCTCGCCTCATACGGCATCCCCTGCAAACCGGCCACCAACCTTGTGGCCCTGCGCTGCACTGACTCCAACCTGGCTCTATCCTTCCTGTAATGAGGGGCCCAAAACTGAGCACAAGGCTCCAGTTGCGGGCGCACCAGAGTTGTATAGAGTGGTAGTAATACCCCTCTCGATCTAGAAGCCACACTTCTGGCTATGAAGCCAAGGGTGGCGTTCGCCCTCTTGACCACCACATCACACAGCTGGCTCACGTTCAGCCTGCAGTCCACCAGCACCCGGAGCTGCCCCCAAGCCCATCTTCCTGGGAAAGAGATCCACAGGCCAGGCAAGGGCAGTAGTTGCCAGCCGCCCAAAATCCGCTTCCCATCCTCCCCTCCAGTTTTCCTTGCATTGCCCCTTCCGGGACCCTTCGCCCGCCCACAGCAGAAACTGGCAATGCTCCTGCAAGCTCAGCTCAGGCTGCTAGAATTGGCACGCAAGTCCCAGCCACTGGGAGAAGGGCCTGCTCAGGAAAGCTGGAAAAGCAGCTCCGGCAGCTGTGCCTCGGGACACTGCCCTCCTTTCCCAGGCCCGCAGCCGAACTGCGGGCAGTGGATGATGGGAGGGTCGTGGAGCCACGGTGTTTGCTCAGGAGCCAGTCTGAGCACGCCCTTCCCTGCGAAGGCGCTCTCCTCCTTTTCGTTCCAACAGACAGACTGGCTGCTGCATTCAGAATGACTGCTGAATGATGGCAAACTTCTCCAGAAAGGAAGTTTGGGTTCTGGGTGTCGTTTTTATCATCACCAAAGGCCCTTTACAAAGCATCAGAGAAAGCAGAATTTGACTCCCCACTAGAGACAGTATCAGGCATTTGATTCAGTTCATATTTGACCAAAATTGACCCTCTCTGCATCTCCCGGCCAGTATAGACCCAAATGCAAGCCACTGCGGAAGTCAGTTCATTACACAACATGTTTGAAAAAACATGCCATGCTTAAAAAGCACACCCAAATAAGATGTAGGCAATGAGAGGAACTTTCAGTCCTTTTCAAAACCCGTGCATGCATTTGTTTTATTAAACAATATTTTAACAACTTTTAATATTATCTATAGGTTTTAACAGGGCTCTGTCCTGGGGCCGATCCTGCTTAATCTTTTCATTAACAACATGGAAGAAGGGGTGAACGGTCTGCTGATCAAATTCAGAGACGATACTAAAACTGGAGCAGTGGCCACAACTAAGGAGCAGGTACTCCAGATCCAAAAGGATCTGGGCAGACTATGGAAGTGGGCAGGAGACAACAGGATGGCGTTCAGTGTGGAAAAGTGCAAGGTCTTGCACTTGGGGCACAGGAATGGGGTGTCATAAGTGCAGGTCAGGGGACAAGTGGCTGGAGAGCAGCACTTGTGAAAGGGACCTCGGGGGGCTGGTGGACTGCGGGCTGAACATGAGCCAGCAGTGCGATGTGGTGGCCAAGAGGGCGAGTGCCACCCTTGGTTGCATGGCCAGAAGTGTGGCTTCTGGATCGAGAGAGGTATTACTGCCACTCTATACAACTCTGGTGTGCCCGCAACTGGAGCATTGTGCTCAGTTTAGGGCCCCTCATTACAGGAAGGACATAGCCAGGTTGGAGTCAGTGCAGCGTAGGGCCACAAGGTTGGTGGCCGGTTTGCAGGGGATGCCGTATGAGGCGGGACTGAGGGAACTGGGTCTCTTCAGCCTGGAGGAGAGGAGACTCTGAGGGGATCTGTTGGCGACATACAGGTGTATGAAGGGGTGTCACACGGAGGTGGGGAGAGACCTGTTCTCCCGTGCAGAGGAAGGCAGGACGCGCTCCAATGGAGCCAAGCTCAGGGAACCAAGGTTCACTTTGGATGCCAGGAAGCACTTCCTGACAGTCAGGACCCTGAGAGGTGGAATGGGCTCCCATGGGGGGTGGCTGAGGCCCCATCGGTGCAGGTGTCCAAGGACAGGCTGGACGTGCACATGGTGGGCATGTCGTGAGCGGAGCCGGCTGGAGCCGGGGGTCAGACTAGATGGCCCAGGAGAACCCTTCTGACTCGCACTGTTTTCTGTTTCTGTGTTTCTAATTTGCAGCCAGAGTGAATCTGGATTTTATGTGCACTATTTATACGGTTGTTCATTTATTGTATGGAAGCCGTCCTGAGGCTTATGCGAATGGGACGGCATACAAAAATTCTAAATAAATAAATAAAATAAATAAATTTGCAAAGGTGCTCATGGAAATATTCATGGATGGTATTCATCATTCACAATCCGATCTGCTAAAAGGCTTTCAAGGTTTAGATATGTAAAAGCAGAGCTCACATTCTGGCAGCGGCACCAGCTGGCGCAAACCATATTGCGATTGCAAAAGGGCCATTTGTAACAGATGGGGGGGGGGGGGGGGGCATTTCTCTACAGCCCTATTTTTAATCTTGCATTGGCTGCTGCACCAAGAAGTTTGGCTCGAGAGAGCAAATGTTGTACCCGCACCGAAATGAACAGCTCGGGAGGAGGCCTCGGGAGGCTGGGGCGAGTGGCAGCGCAGTGCTCGGAAGCAGGCGAGCCAGGCTCATTCCCAGCAAAGCCGGATCGTGCGGCTGGGTGCACGGCGGGAATGCGGCACGCAGGGCCGCCGGAACGGGCACAGCCTTCCCGACACTGGCGACCCCGGGTGGGTTGGGCAGCAGCCCCATCAGCCCCAGCCCCAGCCCGCGTGGCCGTTGGCAGCTCGGGAAAATACCCCTGGGGGCCTGCCTCCACCTCAGAAGGCCAGAAAGCACTCTCAAGTTTGATGGAGCTGGGAAAATTCAGATAAATCCTGGTAGAACTATATTGCTTCTATGTGCCTTTGTGTTGTAATGTCAAAGCTGCACCCCTTTCTCAGAAAGCAGCAGAATTCCAAGCCAGTCTATTGCTTAGCATTTGCTGTTATTTTGAGAACTGGAACTGATAGCTTGCTATGAGGAGCTGCCAGGGCTGCTGTTTTGCCCATCAGTGAGAGCTGGTCAGGCTGCCAGGGCAACAGCATTGCAATCACCCTCATTTGCATGCCAAGACCCACAGGAATCCCCGTGCCTCAGTGGTCCCTATGTTGATCTCCTGCAATCAAACGCCATTGTGCTGAGCCCCCTCTGCAGACCTCCGACCTTCTTCTGACGGTGTTCCCCTTGTTTCGTCATCAACTGCCCAGCTGCTGGGCCCATGTGACTCAGAATCTACAAAACACTCTGTGTATGTTCTAAAGCTTTTAGTTGGCGGTGAGAACCACTCCCTGGCAGCAGGCTGTCGGAAGTCACTGCAGGGGTCCTGGGTGGTCTTTCAATAAACTGCGGAGGTCCAAGGCGAAAGGGGTCTTTCCTGACTGAACCCGGGTATCCTGTCCCGCGGCTCCATCCAGGCTCCCCGACAGCAGCAGCGCATCATGCCGCGATCTCTGATGCCCATCGCCAGAATGACACCAACGGCCTCAGGAACTAAGCGGAAAGGGCAGGAGGAGGAGGCGATTTCTGGAAGAATTCCACTCCGGCCATCCCGAGGGACGGGGCAGCTTTCAGGAGCAATTGCACCTCCTTCAAAGACATTTACAAGTTGTTCATGAATTATTCCACCGGCGCAGTGCGTGGAGTGGCCGTTCCCGCGGGCCGTTCATCGACTGTGATAGGAGCAGTAACTACATTGTCACTGGAGAGCTCCATCAATTTTGGCAGCAACAGCCTCGCCGCCGCACCTGCGATCTGTCAATGCAGCCCCGATCTGGCCGGGGAAACCCGAAGCGTTGTGCGTGGATAATGGAACCCGGGTTGGCTGCCTGAGCCTCGGAGGGCAATTTGAAGATGAAACACGAGAGCGACGGGGAGGGGCAGAGGGAGCTTGAAATGCGCTTCATCTTGTTCTGTGCTCGGAAGGAACCCGGGGGGCCGCACCAGCGCTCCCCCATGCAGAACCCGCGTCTGGGGGCCGGAAGTGCCTGGCCCCAACAGCAGGCAGAGCGGAGACAGGATCCCTGCCAGAAATTCTGACGTGTGTTTGCTGCACATTGGATCAGACGCCAGACTTATCCAGCCTGGTGCCCACAGATGATATGGACCGTAGCCAACGTCAGCAACGGGAGTCGTCGTCCCGCGCGTCAGAGGGGACCAGGCGGCCTGCCC